TTTTTTTGAATCCTCAAAAATGTTGCATGCATTTAACTCCACTGATATTGCTTTAGTTCTTAAGCTACCTAACTCTTGTAAAGCCATGGACTTTAGACCCATATCCTTTTGCTCAGATTTTTACAAGACTGTTACCAAGATTTTAGTGAGCAGATTGGTTCAATTTCGACCTATGATCATAGCCCCTAACTAATCAACCTTTATGAGGGGGAGGAAAATTGAAGGCAACACCCTCCTAGCTCAGGAGCTTGTTATAGGATATGGAAGGGGTTCTATCTCCCCTAGGTGTGCCATAAAGGCTGATCTACAGAAGGCTTTTGACTCACTAAGCTGGAAGTTTCTTCTTTTTGTTTTGAAAGGATTAGGGTTGCCTGATTTATTTAAGAGATGGATAGAAGCTTGTGTTATGGACTCTAGATTCTCCATTGTGTTGAATGGCAATCTAGTAGGGTTTTTTAGAGGGAGAAGATGAGTCAGGCAGGGGGACCCCCTATCCCCTTACCTGTTTATGGTTATTATGAATGTCTTATAAAAATGTTGGATGTTGATGCTTCTGGAAAAATATTCCAATTTTATCCTAAGTGCATGAAACTAAACCTAACACACTTATGCTTTGCAGATGATTTACTCATATTTTGCAAAGGTAGCTTTGATTCTATTATAGGGGTGAATTGTGTTTTGGAAAGGTTATATGAGATGTCAAGGTTGAGGCTCAATGCTGCTAAGACTGAAATTTTCATGGTTGGTGTGAATGATGATCTTAGGACATTGGTCCATGAGTTTACTGGATTCAAACTAGGTTGCCTTCCTGTGAGATACCTAGGGGTGCCTCTTGTCCCTAGGAAACTAACAGTGAAAGATTATGCCAGTCTAGTGGAGAAAATCAAAGCAAAACTTGGACTTTGGTCTAATAGATGGTTGAGTTATGTAGGCAGATTGCAACTGGTGAAGTCAGTCTTATTTAGCACTGCCAACTACTAGTGTAAGCAGCTTGTTCTGCCCACTGCTATGATTAAAAGGGTGAACCAGCTTTGTGCAAGGTTTTTCTGGAAAGGGGGTGACATTCCAGCTAAGGGAGCCCGAGTGAGCTGGGAGTGCATTTGCACCCCTAAGTCTGAGGGGGGCTTAGGCCTTAAGCATTTAGCTTGCTGGAATAAAGCTTGTATTCTGTTATTGGTTAAAGAACTTCTCATGGCTGAAGGTTCTCTTTGGGTCACCTGGGTGAGGTTATATATTTTTAAAAGAGTTGACTTCTGGTCTGTTACAAGCAAGCTTTCCTTTAGTTGGAGTATACAGAAAATTCTGAAGTTAAGGGAGGAAATTCAACCTTTGTTCTCGGTGATCATGGACTGGGACAAGGTTACAACTCGTTGCCTATGGCAGGAAATTAGGGGAAGGAAAGAGAAGGTGGAATGACATAAGGTTGTCTGGTTTCCTTTGCATAATCCTAAACACTCCCTCATTGCCTGGATGGCTATTCTTGACAGATTGCCTACTGCTGATAGACTTGCTCGAATGGGGATTGGGGTGGAAGATAAATGCAGGTTGTGTGGAACTGAGGCTGAGACCCGCAACCACATCTTTTTTGGATGCTCCTTCTCAAAGGCTGTTTGGGAGGTGATTACCCGGTTATATAATGTTGACAGAATGGTGGGGTGTTGGGATGAGGAACTGAATTGGGCCATCTCTCGGTTTAAAGGCAAACCCTCTTTGTGTCTATATTTAGAATAGCTTGGTGTGCATATGTATATTGTATATAGGAGGAAAGAAATCATAGGCAGTTTAGGGGCATTAGTAGAGATGTTGATAGTGTGGTTAACGGTATTAAAGAAATTGTTAAGCTGAAGTCAACTCGTTTTGTCATAAAAAATAGTGTTAACAATAGAAATCTTTGTTTAGCTTGGGGGATTAGCAACTCCTAGGAGGTGTTGCTTGTTTTGTGACTTGTATTGATTGTAGCAGTTAGTTTCTATTGCTTCTTGGATAATAATATGAAACTTATCCAAAATAAATTAATGGCTTAATATAATATTATTTCTGTATTATTGTGTAGTTTTCTCTTTGTCCATAGTAATTTATTTTTTAATTATCTCTGTATTATCATTCTGTTCTCAGTTATCCAATGTATTATCAGTATGTTTCTTTTATCTTCATTAGACAATGACATTTTCTATTAAAAAAGTCACTTTGACTAACAGAAACACGTCACCTATAATTGGAAATAAAAAATATTTTTAAAATCAAAATATTAAAAATATAAACTAATTTTTAAACAAACAAAATCAAAATTTTCTAGGTCTTTTCCATTCTTTATGATTTTGTAAAATTTTAATGATTTTATTTTTTTTAAATAAATTAAACTTAAATTATAATTTTTGGAAACAATATAAGGTTAAACATAAATTGTAAAAAAAATTAGATATTTTTTGCATTTAATAACTTTTTTTTGGATTTTCTACTCATATTATACATGATTGAAGTAAAAAAGTTTTTTTTTAATTCAGCTCAACTCAACTTAAATTTATTCTTTAAGTATTTATAATTTGATTTAATCTGAACATGAATACATCTAATTTTTAACATTTGTTCACATAATCATGATTTAGTCGTATGCACAGTATAAACAACTTCTAGCAAGTAGAGAAAATCTCAAATAATCTCTTTGTATGAATCACTGGTTAGTATTCAAACAATTATCTCCTTAAAATTTTTAAAATTTAGATAATTTTATTGATAATCTGTTTTAGTCTCTCTTAAAATTTTATTAATTTACCTCCTTAAGATTTTATAAGTTCACATTTCTTTACATAAAATTTTAGGCGTGTGTATATATTTCTTTTTCTGGATAAAATTTCAAAATCGTAGGCAGTATGTTTGCAAGAACAAGCTGCTACAAGACCTCTAATAGGAGATGTTGTGACAGCGCTTGCGTATTTAGCATCGCAAACCTATGACCCTAATGCACCCAGCAATCAAAGCAACAGGGTCGGTCCATCGACTCCGAGACTCAAGGATGATCGAAGGAGCACGGCAGATGGTCTGGACAGCCCAGGTGAGCGTGAACAGGATAGTTCCCCATCCAGCAATAGAAATTCACCTGATTACAGGAAAAGGAACCATGTTCGGGAATTGAGCGGTGCAGAGTTGGGTAGGAATGGATCCGGCGGAGGGTCAGGGAAGAAATGGGGTGGTTTGGCTGATCCAGAGCCGCAAGAATCTCATAGGGATAGCCCTCTGAATCCTGCGAGAGCAAGGCAAACACCACGAAATCGCAATCTCGATAGAGAACGAGCTGTTGCAGAGGCTAAAGTATGGGGTGAAAATTGGAGGGAGAAAAACGGACAAACGCGGTCGATGGAACAAATGACTGATGAAACCTGCAAAAAAAGAAATGAGTACTAAATACGTTTCATTTTGCTAAATTGTAGCAAAAAAACCCATGTTTGTTTCATTTCAAAGGGTGGTCAGTACCTTGAAAGAGCAACATTTTCTCTCAAGCTTATCCATTTCTACTCAGGAAATAAGAATTGAAAAGGGATAGTTGATTTGTTTGGGGAGGGCATTAGCAGGTAAGCTTCTATGCATTTGGTCAGCTATCGTTTTTTCTTAAAGATGGTATTTTGTATTACGAACGTTTACAAAATAAACCACCTCGATGACCTCATTAAAAAAAACTCTAATCCTGAATGGGGACAAAGAGTGTGCCTTGAGTTGGTAGAGATGGTAAGATTCAAAAAACCCACAAAGCTGAACAACACACAAATCCAAACCCAACCCTACTTTAAACCCCTTCCAAGAAATTCAACACAAACAAACTACTAAAATGAACTTAGAACTAAAACGAGATCGAACACCGACTGCATATCCAAAGTAACGAGCCAACACCTCAAACACAATATCACCCGCAACCAGAGCTTGAACAAAGAGTAGCCCTAAGTCATGGAGAACCACACTTGCTGAAAACTAGCTGCCAACAGACTCGTCCAAGGATCGAAGCATATCAGCAGAGATCAAAGACTGTACGAGCCTACCCCGTTAACCCTAATAATAATAAAAATATCTACAAAAATAAAACATCAAAGGTTAAAGTACTATAAAAACAAAAAACAAAAAAAACAATAAATTTGTCAAACTAATTTTATCATTATGCTCTACTTAAATATATATATATATAAAATTAAAGATGTATATAATCAGTAAAGAGTCGTTAACATAAAGATTAACAAAATTATATAAGATGCCCATATGTTTTTATTAAGAGACCATGATTAATGTATATTATAGTTACTCTAATGAATATTATTGGGACTCTTGAAGATTTGAAATTTAAATTCAAAAAACCTCTTCAAAAGCATTTGATTATTTAATGAATTTTTTAAACAAAAATATTAGAATTGAATTTTATTTTAACTTACAGATTGAGAACAAAAACATAAAATTTTGTCTATAAAATTTAACACATCAAAAGATTTTAAAGAAATTTAGAATAAATTTAACATATCTATTATGTGCTTTGATGATCGTAAAAGATAAATCTTGTCTTCAAGAAAAGAGTAAAGGAGCTAATAAAAAGTATTATATCTTGGTAATTGGTATACAAAAATTCCCATCTTAGTTGATCTAAAAGAATTAAGTGCTACAAAATCATTTACGTATAGATCAAAATTGGTCTATATTTAAGAAGTTTGTATTTAAAATTAAATTATGAAGACTACTGAATCATTTATGATGTTATCACGAGAAAGAATAAATATATGTTGTACTCTTTTTCTATTGATTAAAATTTCGTTCGACTTAATTTTCGTAGTAAAATTTTAATGAAATAATATAATATGCATATGATATACTCTTTTCTTCATCATATTTTTTTGGAATAATATTTTAACGAAATGCATAGAACATTCAAAAGGAAGTGTTGTAAATAATATTAATATAAATTTCCTTTTACTCTTAATCTTCATAGTCTCTTGACCTTTTGGGAAGCTTAAAGCACAACAAATATGTTTCTTTGGATATGGGTTTAAGGAAGAATAGCATGTAAATACAAACAATACATAAAAACCCAAGTGTAAAATCAATCAGATAAATACACATGAAAGATTGTCACTGATCTTTCTTCAAATCCCCAGCTGTTGATGAGCCATCAGATTTCTCTTCCTGCAACAAGAAAAGAAAATCCTAATTAATACTTACGATTAATATCAAAATCATAATTCTTTGACATATAAATTGACCTGTTTTTCAACCGCTGTGGAAACTTCAGCTTTGGTAGTACCGTTGGCTGGTTTTGATTCTTCCTCTTTCTTCACGGTTTCATGTTTTCCTGAGAATCATGCATGAAAACATCAAATAATTTTACGAATACGTACAAATTACGGCCATTGAAAAATGCATTATCAGTCAAACACCATTTGCAGTTTCCTCAACAGCTTTTTGATCCTTCACGGTTTCTGTCTTTGAATCTTCATCCAGTTTCTGATCCTTGTTTGTTTCTTCAGCAGCAGCCTTAATTACCTCCACAGTTTCTTCTTTTCTCTCTTCACCCATTGTTTTATCCTTCACATTATCCTTCTCCTTCAATTCCGTGCTTTCACCTATCTTCTTCCCCTCGACACCTGCACCTTGGGCTGTAAATGAACCTAACGTTCAGCAAATCGATTGTGAATAGTTTGACGGGAAGTTCGTTTATTTATTAAACAAAAACGAATCGACACGAACAAATGGAGCATTCGTTCATTTGATAATTCATTCGTTTATGTTTGTTTGCATTCGATAATCTATTCATTTATATTTATTCTTTTAATTAAATTTATATTTATATTTATATTCATTTACGTTTATTTATATTATTTTAATAAAAAAAATTAAATTAAAAGAAAGTTATATTTTACGTTATTTCGTTTGTATTCGTCTGCATTCGTTTATTATTTTAATGAACACCAATAAATATGAACAAACTACATTATCGTATTTGTTCGTTCGTTGGGTTAGAGCTAAACGAACGAACGAACATGAATATATTATAGTCCATGTTTGTTCATTCATTTACGGGCTTACCCGCACTGGAATTGTCGTTTTCGCCTTTTGGTTGATCCGGTGAGCTTGTTTTGCCATCGTCTTTCCTCGTTTCTTCGACGATTTCCGAGCTCTTCCCCTTCCTGGACCTCACGCTCGAGTTCTTGCGGCTGATGGACGTCGCAATCGCATCGGAACCGCCTTCCGAGCTTGTCTTGTGGTCGACTTTTCTCGTCTCTTCGACGGAGTCCGAGCTCATCTCCCGCTTCGATCCAGCTTTCGAGTTCTTCCGGCTAATGATGTTGTCGGTGGCGACAGAGTGTTTAGATCCACCACACCCCATTTCTGCAAATTGTGAAGAATGAAGATGGAATGGAAACTGTCAAATTTGCAGGCCAGCAAGGTTTTGTTGGCCTGCAATGGAGGGGAAATTGGCTGAATTTATGGAAACTGGCAAGAACATGAGAATGAACAACAGCTTTAAATTATTAAACAAGATGGAAACAAGTTGTCACGAAGAGTTTGGATTATCATAAAACAATGATTGGACAATATTTCTTATCAACTATTTGGGATTCCATAATCTGTTTTTCATCCACTGGATCTCTTCCTTTGATTTGCTAAAATATTGCACCTATTTCAGCCTAAGAAACCTCCCCTCACATATTCTTGGCCATTCACAGCAATAATTAGATGCTATTTTATTGTTTAAATATAGAATGCATAACATATATATATATATACACACACTTTAATTGGTGTTAACGATTGATCAGGTACTAGGGTTGTACAAAATCGGATATCAGATCCGATTCAAAATGTTGGATATCTAAAATCAAGATCCAAATCTGATTCAAAAAAATCGGATATCCGATTTTTCAGGTATCCAGAATTTCGGATCGGATATATCACTTATTTTGCTAGGATTAATCCCATTTATGAATTATATATGAATTATTCCATAAAAAGTGTATAAATTATATCTGATTATATATAAAATGTAATTTTTAATTTAATGTATTTATTTTATAATATCTTATTAGTTTATATTCTTATCATTTTATTAATATATATATAATTATACTGAATTATATATAAATTATATAAAAATATAATCACCCTAAATAAATCATCCTACGACATTTCTTCAAAAAAAAATTCCAACGACATAGTCTGAATTCAATTGATTGGTAATACAATTCTTTTTAAAAGATTTCATATTAAAATATTAATATCAATTTTAATTATCCTCTAATAAAAATAATGATATAGATAATTATAGAATGAAAATTTAAATATATTCAGCAACTGCCACATGATGCAGAATTGACAAAGTGAGCATAGGAGAAAATTCTAAAAAAACACGTGTTTTTTTGAAAAATATTAAATAATAGTTGAGCTATCTCAATAATAGTAAATTTATTTGAAAATCTTTATTGATTTCATAAATATATTATTATACTTGATCCTTGGTTGAATAAAATTTTATAAAGGTTAAGAAATGCTATTCGCACTTTTTAGCAGGACTGAAATGATTCGAGGATTTCTGGCGTTCTCATCGATTTTCTTGGGGTTTTCTTTCTTTCTCTTGTGATCTGGCTGTTTGGTTCTCTGATTGCACAGGGACGGTAAAGGAGCTCCGTTTCAAGAATTCGATACGTTTCGAGCACAGGAACGGTACGGAGACGGCCGGGGTACGTAACGGGGATGTGCCACGGTGATAGGTATGGCTGACTGAATTCAGGGACGGTCAAAGTTTATCTGGGGATGTTTTGGGGACGTCCCCGGGGTAATTACCACTGACAAGATATGCTCGAGCGGAGAAGAGGAAACCACTAGCTGAAGGCGAAGGAGGAGTCGTTGGAACCCTCATTTGAGTTCGAACAAAAAGCAGAACGGGAGTGGTGAGACAGGCAACGGGATGATTCAACTCCCCTAATTCCGAAAATGAAGAAAAGAAACAGAAGGAAGAAGAAGCGACAGCAGGGTGGAGAAAATAGGAATTATAGATATTTTGTATAATTGCCATTTGATCCCTGATCTTCCTAGGGATTTCAAATTTGGAAACAATTTTTTCATTATTTTTCAAATCGGACACTAAAATTAATTTAGGGGTTTGGAAAAAAAATCTCAAATGTTAGATTTTAATTATAGTTAAATAGATTGTTACACCAATTTTTCTATGAAGTATTAACTTTATTTATGATTTTTATATCTATTTATAATTTTAAAAAATGCTCAAATGTTAGGATTTTAATTAGAGTTAAATTAGGATGTTAACAATGTTTGGTTTGGATTTAATATTATAGTTTAAGTCTTAAGATTGGACACTTTAATATTATGATTTGATTATGGATTTTATTATTCTTGAGTTAATATTGTGGGTTGAATCTTGAAATTTGACATTTTAATATTATGGGTTGTTTATGGATTTTACTGTTCTAATCTTAATATTGTGGTTTGAATCTTGATATTTGACTTTATTTATGATATTTTATATATATTTATAATTTTAAAATTATTTTATATGTCATACCCTTACAGTCCTCGTACCCTGTAATTTTAAAAATTACCATTTCCTGTCCCTGTCCGCGTATACGTCCTCGTATCCATATCGTGCAACATAGTGATTGGCTACAGGAATGGCTGTGAAGGTTGGGTTGGAGGGTCTGATTGCTTCGCTGGCTGTGGAGGTGGGGATGGATGGCCAAATTTGGATTGGAGGCCGTTTTTTCTTCCTCAAAAGAACACTCGTTGCAGTTCTTTCCTCCTCATGCGACGTAGGGTGAGGTTCGAGTCATCCCTCCGGTAGAGGTGTTTACTAAACGAGCTCGCTACTGGAGAAATTCGGTATTGGTGCAAGGTCGGAGGGTCTGAGTGCTTCGCTGCTGTGAAGGCGGGGATGGAGGGCCCTAATTTGGATTATAGGTCATTTTTTCTTCCTCAGAAGAACACTCGTTGCAATTCTTTCTTCCCAATGTGATGGAGGGTGAGGTTTGAGTCATCCTTCCGGCAAAGGTGTTTGCTAAACGAGTTCGCTTGTAACACCCCCAACTCGTACCCGACCCGGATACGAGATATTACATTGACTTTTAAAACACAACTCTTAACAAATAATAGAAAAATAATTGAACTTATATTAAGAAAATATGATATTATACATATGGTAATATAAGTTTACCAAAATATTCAGAGCATACACAACTTAACCCTTTAATTACATGCCAACTTCCATTAACATAACAAAATGACCTACTGATTAAGTTGCTTCTGATCTGATGGTTTCAGGAGTAATATTGTCCAGCTGCTTAACCTGTCTCGTCTACTTTCTCGGATCCTACATGTGAAACACTCACACGCTAAGTCATCGACTTAGTGAGGCAATGTAATAATAATCACAAGGAAATGTAATGAAAATGTCATAATGATATGAAATGAGATGAAAGCGTATACTTAATCCATGTAGCTTATATCACCATTATCCTTACCTGTAAGCATATAACTTTAACATTCCTGAATTTGTATTAATAAATTTATTGGCCCATGATATCATATTGAGAACCTAAGGTATGTGAGTATTGTGAGGTTGTTCACTATACTGTCACCACAGCTCGTATAAATGCACCGAAGTGCCGCGTAGAATTGTACCGTAGTGCCATATAATAATGTCCATAAGGACCACATAGAATTCCTTAAGAATCATATACATATACTAGGGATCAAGTATGTGTCTCCCAAGACTTCACACATGTTCCAAAGAATATATATAGATCCCGAAGGACCGCGTAGAATTTTGTCCCGAAAGACCGCGTAGACCCTCTACCCTTGGCATGCCAACTATATCTATAGTTCTCATCTACATAACATGGGCTTTTACATTTCACGTAGTTTATATCGCGTAGACATGTAAATTCTTACCTTTTCACATAGCTCATATAACTTTTCCTGCACATTCATGTCACATAATGCATTTTATATGAATTCATGTCATGTCTCATAATACAAAATATGATCATGTATCAAGATATAAAATCTAGACTTATCACAAGTCTAGAATTGAGTATATTTCTATAATCATACTATACATATGCACTTACCTATATTTCCTTGCTTTTTCCTCGATCGATCTTACTGGGCAATTGTTCGTGAACTTGATTAAGCTCTGTATCTACATAGCAATTCGTTGATACTTATTAGTATACTAATTAATATATTCTAAACTATCATTTCTTAGGCTAAAAGAAAAGCTATTTCCATCTTTTAATGAAGGTATGCATCGATGCACTCACAGTGTATCGATGCATTCCCTATCGGTGCATCGATGCACTACTTGTGCATCGGTGCATAAATGACATTCGATGTTTGCATTTTAAGGGGATGCATCGATGCACTCCTTATGCATCGATGCATTAATTGTATTTGATGTTTGTTTATTTGAGAGTGCATCGATGCACATTGAAGATGCATCGATGCAAACAACCCAGAAATCCCATTGCAAGCACGAAATTCACTCTTTTCATCTCAACTCTTCATCTTTCACCTCCTTTAATATTTCTAACTCTTATACACCTACTTAAACTGATTAATGCCCATTTAATACCTCTTAACCTTACAAATCCAATCATTAATACCGAATTCAAGAATCTTACTCAAATTTTAACATGTTCTAAATCTAGTTCTAACACTTCATATCATTTACTTCCACTCATGACAAGTCAGATTTAACTTCTAAATCCATTTATACATCCTTATTCAAGATTTCACTTATCCATTTCTTATTTTTAATCCTTCATAACTCACCAATCTTTGAGTTTCTATAATATTTTTCATCTCCATAATCTTTCCTAAAGCTTCATAAATCAAACCCATACTTTAATTTGAAGGATTAACCAAAAGAAATCAAACTTACCTTAGGTTTGGGTGCTTCACGTTGAAGAAGAAAATAAAGAAGAAAGAAGAATCAAGAGTTATCTAGAAACTCTTGTTTCTTTCCCTTGGGTATTATAATACCCAATATCTAATATTTAATTATTACTTTTGCTCAATGACCCTTTTACCCTTTTAATTCTCATTCACTTATTAATTCATCCTACACCAACATCTTTTAATTAATTACTTCACTTTTTAATTTATTTAATTTGATCACTGAAATTTTAAAATCTTACACTTTAATCACTAACTCGGTATTGAAGATGTTACAAATCTCCCTCCTTAAGAAAATTCATCCTCGAATTTTCATTACACGAACAGATGGGGGTATTGATAACGCATATCCTCTTCATGCTCCCACGTTGCTTCCTCTACTTTATGATTCCTCCAGAGAACTTTGACCAACGAAACTGATTTATTCCTCTACTGTTTAACTTCATAAGCCAATATTCTTACTGGTTCTTCTTCATAGGTCAGATCTGATTGAACCTCTACTTGCTCTGGTGCAACTATATGAGAGGGATCAGACTTATACCTTCACAACATGGACACATGAAAGACATTATGAATTTTCTCCATCTCCGGTGGAAA